AGGGGTTGTAGCCTACTCACTGCTGTCACCGGTACAACATAGGAAAAATTTGGTGTCACTTTGCAACATTCTTGTTTCTTCTTCCATAATCTCAGATGCATCAGGATCTGAATGCTGCCTTTGTGATCTCTCCTGGATATTGTACAGCTATAAAGATCTGCAAATGTGATCGTCCACAACTTCATATTCAGTTACTAGCATCTTATAAGCTTGGGCACAAAAATGTGGGAGCCAATGTCAAAGTGCGCTGTGCTCCATGCTAGGAATGAGGTGGACAGATAGTAAAGACTGTTTCCGGCAGTGATCCATCTAAAGCATATTAATGCTGATCTTCACTGGAATCCAAATATAGCTGTCATAAGTACTACAAAGGTCACTGTGACATGGGGCTTTTAAGTAAATGCTGTGAAGTAGGTGGAAAAGGGGGCATTTTGTAAGAATCCTGTTCTTATCTCACCCACTCTTGGAAAGCCCATTAGTGCCCTCCAAACCAAAAGAGGTGGGGTTTCTTTTGTGGCTTCCAATGTAAACAAATCAGAGTTTTTATACACGTCCTGCTTCTATAAATTGGAGTAAGTTGTTTATACTCTTTGTATGTTTTCTTTTCCCTCAGTAAAAGCTTTTATTTTAAAATACCGTTGACAGCAGTTTCCACTTGAAAACATGTTGGGTTTTATGTTTATCAGCAAAACTGAGAAGTGAGGGCAAAAGTTTTATTGTGAGCTAAAGTACAATTGTCCTACATCTCTTTAAATTTTGTTGGGCCTTCTCTGCCTTTAAAATATCTGAAACATGAGCCAGAACTTTAAAATTCAACTATGACTTCAGGCTTTTAAGACTTTACAAGTTTAATTGGCTTGTTCTAGTTCATGCTTGCAGTAAAGTTTTTGTAGAAGTTAAAGAGTGAACATTTGCTGAGTCACAGAGTGAACACAGAAATCTCATATCCAAAGAGACTGTTACAGTAAGGTGCCATTCTGCAGTTGCTGATGGCAAATCATAGCATTCTTGCAGCACCTTCTCTACTTGGTTCTTCTGAAAGTCACCTGTTGTACTGATTTCAATTCCTTCTTCCCCCATCCCACTTTGTCTCATCATCAAGGAGCTGCAGAAGGCAATTGATAACCGCAAAGCGATCATCTTATCCATCAATCTGTGCAGCTCAGAGTTCACTCAGTCTGACAGCGAAGAGAGCAAGAAGCTTCAAGAGCGCCTGTCTCAGATGAATGTGCGCTGGAACCACGTATGCAGTATGATCGAAGAGTGGCGCTGCTCATTGCAGGATGCATTAATGCAGTGCCAGGTCTGTACTGCACTTATTTTAAATTGTCAGCATCCCGCATATCAAAAATGCAAACCATATCATTATCTGGTGTGCTCATTATCCAGTCTGAAACTTGCCCATGCAAGCCAAAATACAGCTGTGGCATGTGTTTTCTGAAAGATACACCTTTACTACCTGAAGCATGTATTTCCAGCCAAAATTTTTTCTAAACTTGTCATCTCTGGAATAGTATTCTAATATACTATTCTACACTTTCTTGTAAGTTATGTTATTGAGCCAGTAGGACCTAGCATAGGATGAACTAAAAACCTGAATTTGACTGGAATTTTCTGCTATGGTATTAAAATCATCACTCATCACTTGCAGGATTTCCATGAAATGAGCCATGGTTTGCTGCTTTGGTTAGAGAATATTGACAGAAGAAAAAATGAGATTGTGCCTCTCAATCCAAACCTGGACTCAGAAACACTGCAGGATCATCACAGACTTCTAATGGTAGGGCTATAATCACCCCTTTTTTCTCCCAAAACGCATCATCAGAGAAACACCTAATGAGATTTATCTTCCTCTTGAGGGTTAGCATTGTACTTTGCGTGCTAATGCACAACTGCGAGACCAATGTCAGTAACTAACTTGACTTTCATAGGGAGCACTACTCACTTCCATTAGTAGCGTAACTCGTAGGTTGCTGATAGCTTCTCTTTTCTTTCCATTTCATTAATTTCAAATGTCTAGTTGTCCAATTTTGTGAGTTCTAGCTGTTTCCCTTTTTTTTTTTTTTTTAACTTCTGTTGAAAAAAATCTGGTGCTTGCCTTGGCAACAGCAAATCAGACGTGAACTGCTGGAGTCTCAGTTGAAGGTGGCGTCACTGCAAGATATGTCCTGCCAATTGCTAGTCAATGCTGAAGGCAGGGACTGTCTTGAAGCCAAAGAAAAGGTGCATGTCATTGGAAACAGACTGAAGCTCCTCTTGAAAGAGGTCACACGTCATATTAAAGACCTAGAGAAAATTCTAGACATTTCAAGTAGTCAACTGGTAAGTTGCATCTTTTTATTCTTGCTGTTTGTTGGGCATATGTTTCCTACTGTTTTGATTGTCTTTCTCCAATCAGTGCTGTTGGCTGCACTGTTTCTGTTGTTTGCAATACTTATCAATATGGTGCACGTGTATTCTTGAATATCATAAAGTAATCTTACACTTCATAATGTGAACATCTCTTCTGTGATATGGTGGGTTTTTTTAATCCAGTAATTTTTTTGCTATTTTTTATAGCAATAAGTATTGAACGTCTTGGTTTGTTTATCGTGCCATTACTGATTCAATCAACTGGCAAAGTATATGAGATAATTATTCTAGTTGCAGTACTGAAAATTATAGTGTGTCAGTTGTCACTGTCAAGGAAGACAATGTTCGCTCTGTCGAAGAGGGAAAAAAAAAAAGCATCAAATAAATTCTGTAATAGGCTAACAAATCTCTCATAGTGCCTTCTGGGCTTTGAGCTGTACTCCAAATCTTTTCAAATTATCATGTATCTCAGGGCATTTGAGAGGGAGTTATGCGTACATTTTCACTAACAGTGGCAGGTATAAAGTAAAGATTTCAAGGTCCTTCTTTAGTTAACTTTGTTTAAAGTCTTCAATTAGCAGAGTGCATAAGGCATGAGAAGTCAGCTTTTCCCTCCTTCTAGTGAATTTCTGCCCGTTTAAGTAAAATCTTGGTGGTACCAACCTCTTCTTGTAATTAAAGGCCAGTAAAGAGCAACTGGTTTTTCCCCTGTGTTGACTTGGGTGGAAAATGTGTCACCTAAAGCAATTAAGTTTTAACTGTCTGTTTGCTTTTCTTTTTCTTCAGGGCTAACAGAGAAAACATGTAATGCCTTAGTCTTATAAAATTTGGTAACAAAATTTAACTATTTTTTTTTGCTTTGGAAATAACTCTGCTGGGATTTCACTCAGGGTTTTTTTTTAGTTTGCTTACCTGAACAGCTAGTTGCCATATTTCTCAGCTCCATTCCTTCTGAACTTTAGGAATTGTCCTCATGGTCTTCTGCTGATGAATTAGACACATCGGGCTCAGTGAGTCCTGTATCTGGAAGAAGCACTCCAAGCAGACAGAGAACGGTAATTTCATATCATATGTTTTCTGCCACCTCCTGGGTGGGAACTCTAGATGTCTACAGTAGCTCTAGCTAGCTGGAAGGCCCTCCCTTCTCACCTGATAGGAAAGAAAATGTCATAAACCAAGGACAAAGCACAGCTGCTTTCCCCAACCCTGCTGCATATCCCATCCTGCATGAAATCAGAAGTGGTAAATACTATCTAAAACCAGGGCTGTCAGTGTGGTTGGTTTACCATGGTATGGCATGTCGTGTCTCTTGTATTTTGCTCTAGTGATGGCAGCACCCCAAAGTCTGGTCTTGTCTGGTATAATCAGTCCTCCATTTCTGTTTGGCCTTCTCTTCAGAGCTGCTTCATCGAGAATCTCAATAAGGTTTTTTTGTCATTTCTGATGAAGGTTGCAGATGGTCTTATTGAGACTTTGGATGAATGGCTAAGTAGAGCTAAAGGGCATAAACCATTATTCAAAACAGCTAGTTGCACAGGACCTAATCAATGACTATGATGGCAACTCTGGAGTTGTCTATTTACATCGCTGGCACAAAATTCAAGAAATATAGCAATACATGCCTAGTACTTAACACTTCCATACTCTGAGCCCAAAACGGAACTGCAATTACTTTGTCTTTTTCTGCAATTCTATTAGTTTATTACTTTGCTTTTTTCCTTGGTTCTTAAAACAATCAGGTTGGTTTTGTTTTGTTTTGTTTTTCCATTTGCACTTTTTGTAAAGCCTCTGAGTTCTGTCTTGATAAATTTTATGGCTCTTGAAATTGATTTTTTTTTTTAACTTTTTTTTTTACATTCACTAGTTTCCTTTTACATGCTAGTATGAGAATGTAAAGGAATACTGGCTTTTCAAAAGGAGAAAGAATATAAACCTTAACATTTTATTTCAGAGGTCAATGCTTTTATCTTTTAAATTTAAACTTAAATAACTAATAAAAGTGCTCATATCACAGATGTAACTGGAGGATGCCTGACCATTACCGGAAATGGGGAAGTATTTTACCATAAAATCTTTGTCTAAAGAGTACATAGAACTACAATAGGTTTCGTCTTAACATTTTAATAAGAAGTTGTCTCTCTCTAATTTGTTAGTGTTTATGTACGTGACTACATTTTTTCATTTTTTTCCATAATGTATAGCTAACTTGTATGATTCCTTGGGGTCTGGTTTTCAAACTTCTGGTTTTTGCACCCACAATTTTGGAGACTGAAGTCATATTTAGAATTTCAGTGCCAAAAACACTGATGCTAAATAAATAAATACTAATACCAAAAAATGCAATCAGAATTACAATCATCTAACTGCATTAAATATTCCAGCAAATAGTTGTGAGTGCGGGAATGCACCTACAGTTATTTGGCCTTCAAAATTGTGGGGGGGAATGGGGGTGGAGAAGAGGCCAGATTCGTCAAAGGAGGCCCTTGGACTGTTTTTCCTTGAGAATATTAATTTTGCTGCATTTGCATTTTGAAATATCTAATTTGCCCATATTCAACTCAATAAATTTTTTCTATTTCATATTACAAATTATTTGAGCTAAATTTCTAGTGATTTTTTTAAATCCAGAGCTACTGTTCATAAATATAATGACTAAACTGTTATTTTCAAGTTCACTGTGTATGTTCTAATCATTTCCATACTCAGCTAGGAGCAAAGAAAAGCCAGTTTCCTTGGTTCATGGGTATTGGTCACTTCACTTGATTTTATTTTTTTTTTTTTTAATGTTTCCTTTGCTGCACTTTTAATTTAGTTTCATCAGTAGCTTGTCTTTATTTGCCTGGACTGAACATTCTTCTTTCTTTACCCCCTGTTCATTGCAAACAGCCACGGGGCAAATGTAGTCTCTCACAGCCTGGACCCTCTGTCAGCAGTCCACATAGCAGGTACCTTATTCTCCTGGTTTCCGCACTCTGTTCTAGAACCCCAAGAGGATGATGGAAATTGGCCGTGATTCCTCTCCGTCCACACCGACTCTGTCAGGTGGCCAGGACTTAAACAAGCAAAAACTTCTCTTTTGTTAATAGTTTGGCAAAAGGGGCTCTCAATTACTTCAAATTCGTTGTTAAATACAAATACCGGCTAATCCTTGAACATCTACAGCTTT